CACCTTTTATACCAAATGTGGCGAACTACCCACTTTCCCAAAGTTCAAAAGACCCACTTGATTACCTTGAAACTTACAAGTCTTTGATGCAGTTGCACAATGTTTCTGATGAAATCATGTGTAGGGCTTTCTCGACTACCTTGAAGGGATTTGTCTGACAGTGGTTCGCCAAACTCATCCCTGGCTCTATAGGCACTTTCGCCGAACTAAACAGATCCTTTGTGGCACAATTCATTGGCGGACGCCTCCACTAGAAGCCTGTCACCCATCTGCTCAGCAAAAAATAGGACCCGAATGAAAGTCTGAGAAGTTGCCTCATTTGTTTTAACGAAAAGGTCCTTCACATTAAGGAGCTCGATGACAAGTTCACCATGGCTGCTTTCTTGGGAGGTTTATGCTCATCTAGATTTCTTTTCTCAATGATAAAGCACCCACCAATAAGCATGCCAAAATTGTGGGCAAAAGCTTAGAAATATGAAAACACCAACGAGGAGAGTCATCACCATCATGTTCACCACCAGCGCCCGACTCTAAAAAAAGAAGCCACAAAGGCACAAGCATGAATAGATTTTGTGGCTCAGCTCACAGTGCCTAAGGAAAGAGGTTGTCAAGAAGACTCAGCGCCAGGCGCCAGGCGCCAGGGGCCCATCAGTGCTCCTACCCAGTCGTTCAGCTCCTCAGGTGCCCAGCACCTCAGGCCCATCAGTGCTCATACACAATGGTTCAGCTCCTCAGGTACTAGGACCCAAGCGCCCAGCACCGGCACCCAACACCATCAGGCGCCCAGCTCCTCATCTCCATCTATTGGAATGAGCCTCCGGCTTGGTGACCCTTCTATGGGCTAACCCTCAAATTCTACCTCTACTCTCATGTGGGTAGCCTCACAGTCAGTATATCTCCAACTTAGCAGCTTTCTTGTGGGGTCGCCAAAAACTTGGCCTATCTCTACTCTACTCTAAAGACAGACAGTCTATATCTCCAGTTGAGTGGCTCTCTCGCGAGTCGTCAAAGCTTGGTCTATCTTTTCTCTACTCTCAAGATAGGCAGTTTATATCTCCAGCTGAGCGGCTCTCTCGCGGGTCACCAAAATCTTGACCTATCTTTTCTCTGCTCTCAAGATAGGCAGTCTATATCTCTAGCTGAGCGGCTCTCTCGCGGGTCACCAAAATCTTGGCCTATCTTTGCTCTGCTCTAAAAAAGGCAGCCTATCTCCAGCTTAGCGGTTCTCTCGCGGGTCGCCAAAAAGCTTGGCCTATCTTTGCTCTGCTCTCAAGACAGGCAATCTATATCTCTAGCTAAACAACTCTCTTGCAGGTCGCCAAAAGCTTGGCCTCTGTTCTGCTCTCAAGTAGACAGCCTATACCTCCAGCTTAGGGGCTCTCTCGTAGGTCGCCAAAAGCTTGGTCTCAAAAGATGCAGCTCTCTCACAAGCAATCTTCAAACTCTGTCTTTGCTCTCATGCAAGCAATCTACCTCTCTTTCCAGGTAATCTTGTTAGATATTTTGATGTTAAAATAACATTATTTTTACCATCTTTAGGCACATTTTTGAAACTCAAGCCATCTGCAACCCTCGGGATTACATTAGATTGAATGTCAATAATTGAGCCTTAACCTTTTTGTGTCCATCTGGCACCATCGCCTAGTTGTCGCAGGTCTCCAACACTTAACACCTAGCGCAAACAAGGCCTACCTGCGTTTGTCCCCAAACAACGTTCCTCCATCGCAATCAGCAAAATCACTAGCCACTTGGGTCGCCCCTACTTCGAGCCTCAACGACTGCGCTCCAACCTCACCTCCATGGCCCACATCAACATCAATGAAGCGCTTAGCCTCCTGGAGTGGCGCCCCTAGCGCCTGATCCTAACTACTCGCCCCTTTTCAGTTGACACCATTCCCAACAGCACCGAGCCCAACGACGTCAAGCCTAGCAGGGCCACGCCCCATGGCGCCTCGCCTTCCCTCGTAAAGGACCCTTCATTATCAACGATCGACACCGCCATCAGCGTCACTCACTAGTGCTTGCCAGCGCCCGCCAGTACTGAGGGAACCCCTAGTCGCTTGCTAGGAAGGACGCCCTTGGCTCCTCGCTATCGGCCTATAGCGCCTCGACCTCCTCGGTCTGCGCCTCTTTTTTGGCGACCTCTCCATAAGTGATGTGCCCTGCAACGGAGCCCATAGGAGCTTGCCTATGATGCTCGCCTCCTGGACGCCACACCCCAACCCCATGGAGCAATAACTCACCTTCAACGCCCAAGGCGTACTTGCATGGTTGCACTAGGTGCCCAGCGGCTCTGCCCAGCTCGCTCATTGTCGTTGCCTCAACTCTATGGATCAGTTCTTCGCTGTCAGCGCCTCCCCTAAGCTTTGCGCCTTCTCCAACCAGCGACGCCCATGGTGCCACACCCTTAAGGGCGCCCATGGAAGCTTGCCTGGAATGCCTTCGATCCTCCTCGCAAACCAAGTGCCTTCGATCCCCGCGACCTAATCGGGCAGGTTAATCCCTGAAATCCAGTCGAAGTGCAACATGGACCTAGCAGATTTCTTCTCAGACTGTTGGAGAATCCTTGTTAGGTTGAAACTGATTGCCTTGACATTAACTTTGATCCCGAAGTCAAGAGGAGTCTTCATCAATCAGGATGCGGGTTCAACTAAATGCCCTCCTCTTCAAATTCCATTGGACACAGGGCATTGAGGGGCAAATGATGGACAAGGCCCAATTTATGTTGAAAGCCCAGTCTTAATTGAGAGCCTAAACTTATAAAGATCCAGTATCCAGCCCAAAGGGGTCCACACCGATCAAGCTCGCCAAAGAAGTAAGCAGGTTCTCCAAGAGTCTTATCCACGTCGCATTGGAAAGAGTCAACCCTCACATCATTCTTTGACCGAATCTTATGGAAAGTACCGTAAATACCTCATCCATTAAGAAGAGGTCGCCAGATCCACCAAATCAGCCACTTAGTTACTAATAACTCGCATCAATCTGTTATGAGACGACTATAAATTATAAGTCTCGCCAACACTTGGGGGCATCACATTCAGTCGCGTACATCTCTCCTACCTCTCGCAGCTTGTAACTCCGTGCTCTCGCTACACACTTAAAGTAATAAAACTCCCCAACGACCCTAGCCATTCAAAGTGGACTTAGTTCACGTTGACTGAACCATTATGAATTCTTGTCTTGCTTGTGTCTCCATCTCTCACTTCTTAATTACTACATTTATTACTGTTCATCTGATAGGTGGTGTACAAACCCAATTTGTGCATCATCACTTTCAATAAACTCAAACCAACACTTGACCCTATATGACCATCCCCACCTTTTCTCTCACAATCTGTTCATCTCTAATCCTTTATGTGTGTGTATGTGTGTACGTGAATGCATTTGTTTTATTTCTATTGGCATCTCTTTCACAGCTTATGATAAAATCAAGTATGAAAAGAAATTGATCAAAAAGGAACATGAGAAAATTTTCGTGGTTTAGTCATTAGACCTAAATTCACGAATTAAAGCCTAATACGTTGCATCTTCTTATTAAATTTTTGGTACTAAAAACAAATGGGTTATACCATATCACTATAAGAATTTCTGAAAAAACTGACAATTGTTAAACGCCAGTAAAAGTGTAAAAAACGCCAACAATGAGAGAAACAATCACATCTCATTGAACTGAGAGAAACAAGAATCCACGAGATAAACAATAATATGAGAAATTGTTGAATTAATCTTATCATAACACATGATCTTTTTTTTTTATGGTGTTATCTTCAACACTCCCCTCAAGTTGGACAAAAAAAATGTTGAAGTGAAGTTTACAACTTGAATTTGAAGATGGACACAATTTTGACCTAGTTCAACCTCACAACACAACCATCAACAATATTATGCAGCCATTCAGATTTAGTTTCTAAAGCTTCACCCTACTAAATCATAGATGAATCTACAACAAGTCGTCTTCTTCTCTCGAATCAATTGACACCATTCATGTATATAATCACTCAATCTTCGAACACAAAGACCATTATTATGCACACACACAGAGGCTGTCAATGGATTGAGTTTGAATCAAATTTTAACTAATCCAAATTCGAATCCAACTTTGAAAGTTTGATCTGATAATCCGACAGATTATATTTTTGTAGTTCATATCTGAATCCGTTAACAACTTGAATCTGATTTAATTCAAATAATTTAATTGAACTAAATTTTAACAAAGTACATTTAAATTTTAACTAAATTCATTCAAATAATCTCTTAATTTCTTTAATATTTATACAATCTATTTAATAAAGTAGCTAGGAATGTTTGTCTTTAATTTTATGCGGCTCAGATCGTTTCAAGACTTTTGATCCGACGGTCCTCATACCAAATTTTCCTAACACTCCTATCTCTTATCTAACTCTTTTCCCTTATCTCATACTAACTAATGCAGACTCCTATCTCCCCTTTAACTTTATCTTCCTATCTCATACAATAACTCTTTTTCCCTCTCTCCCTCCTCTCTCTTTCTCTCTCTGATACACTCTACCTCCTCTCTTCCATTTTTAAATGATCAGTAACCCATCAAATTAAACAATCCAGCAACCCATTTATACTTATCTAGCAACTCCCAGCAACCCATCTATTCCATTCTCTCTTCCATACCCATCTCTTCCATTTTCCTCCAACTCTCACCCGCAACCAATCAAATTAAACAACCCAGCAACCCATTTTTACTTATCCACCAACCCAGCAACTCCCACAATCCATCTCTTCCATTCTCTCTTCCATTTTACTAGCAACCCATCTCTTCCATTTTCCACTCTCACCCGGCACCTCTCTCTCTTCCTTATCTCTCAAGTTATCTCTATCTCTCTTCCTTATCTCTCATCTAAATCTCTCTCTCATTTTTAAAAAGCAAACTACTTTCCCTTATCTCTAAATTTTCCCCTCCACTGCAATACATACCACACCGAAGTAACACCCTTTCCCTTCCACTCTGTCTCTACCTTGCGGCTCCAATACACACTGAACAACCCACTGCAAGCAGTCCAGGTATTTCTCTCTGGGTCTTCTCTCTCTCTTCTCTCTCTCTCTAACTATGCATGTGTTTTTGTTCGTGTGTGTGTGTTGTGTTCATGTGTGTGTGTTGTTTTCATGTGTGTGTCTGTTCATGCGACTGCTAGTGTGTTCATTTGTGTGCCTGTATTCTTGTATTTTTAATTTTTCAGAATGTGTTCATGTGTGTAATATAGTGTTTCCTCGGGGCCAGTTGGTGTTCATGTGTGTAATGTAGTGTTTTTCAGAATGTGTTCCTGCATTCATGTAATATTTTAGACTTGGGGCCAGTCGATGCAAGAAGGGTAATGCAAAAACCAAAGAGAGAAAAAAAAAAAAAAAAAAACCTTCGTCCTTAAGTTAAATATAATACCCATAAGACCCAGATTGGTGGCTTGCAATTCAAACCCAGGAAATGAGATAAGAATCACATGAAACAATGCATTTAAAAATACGTGAAACAATGCATGTGTGTGTGTGCCTGTGTGATGTGTTCATGTGTGTGTATTGTGTTCATGTGTGTGCCTGTGTTTGTGTTCATGTGTGTGTTCATGCGTCTGCCAGTGTGTTCGTGTGTGTGTGTGCCATTGTGTGTTTTTTTCTTTTTGTGTGTTCATGTGTGTGTTTTGGTTTCCAAGTTTCTTCTTTCTTCTTTCTTTAAATGTTTGATAATTATAAGCACTCTCTTTCTTGTTTACTTATTTTCTATTGTAATTGAATTTATTTTAATTATGGTGTATGTGATATTTTGACTAATTGTTTTTATCAATTTAATTATTATTTTCTCACAGAGCTACACATTACCAAAATATGCATTTTCTTCTTCACCAGGTAAGTAGTAATGAATTTGTTCTTTTTAATTCATATTAAAAATTTGTTGTGTGATTATCATTAAATATTTGTTCTTTTTAATTAATTTTTATCTTGATTTAGTTGTGCATGCTTTGACATGAATTTATCATTATACAAAGATGTTATATGTTAAATGTGTATTGCTATTTTTAATTGCTTATTTACTCAAGATTTGCATGTTTAACAAAACCATAATCAGTACCCAAATAAGAAAATATTTTATTTTTTTCTATGAATACACAACCACAAAAAATCTTAAATATAAATAAAAATTAACAGGTTCGACACATTCTTTTGAAAGTTGGTTGAATTTCTAATAGAAAAAGTAGACTCAAAATAAAACTCAATTTAATCACTAATATCTAATCAATAAATTCACCCTTCAAACTATTATTTATATCAAAATATATATATATATATATACTACATGTAAACATATAGTTCTCAAAATAAAACAATTCTCCCAAGCTCCAAAAAAAAAAGTAGCCAATAAAAACAAAACAATTCTCTTAAAAAACAAAAACACAAAGCCCAAGCTAATCACCAATAAATATATGTATATAGCAATTACACCCAAAAAAATGTATATAATAAAATCCAAGCCAATTACTAATTCTTCCATGCAAACAAAAATTATAAAATAAAAAAATAACAAGTGACCAATAAAAACAAAAAAATTAAAACTAATTGCAGTTGCAGAAAAAAAATTCAAAACCAGTGTAATCGTCATCACCACTTCCACACAAACAAAATCTATAAAATAAAAAAAAATAACAAGTGAACAATAAAAACAAAACAATTGAAATCAATTGCAGTCACAAAAAAAAAAAAAAAAATTTCACAACCAATATAATCCCCATCACCACTTCCACACAAACAAAAATATAAATATTCTCCCAAGAAACAAAAACACAAAGCCAAGTTAATCACCAATAAAAAAAAAATAAGTGATACCAATTACACAAAAAATAAAAAAATAAAATCTAAGCTAATTACCAATTTTTCCATGCAAATAAAAAAATAACAAGTGCTCAATAAAAACAAAACAATTGAAATTAATTGTAGTAGTAGAAAAAAATTAAAAACCAAACTAATCATCATCACTATTTTCTCACAAACAAAAAATAACAAGCGACCAATAAAAAAAATACATGAAATCGATTGCACCAAATGTTAGTGGTGTATGCTTTGACAAGATTTTATTGGTTTTAATATTTAATATTGGTGTTGGATTAGTTTTGGATGCTTTGACATGAGTTGATTGCTATTAAATGTTATGTGGTACAACTTTATTGTTTATATCTTGATTTAGGTTGGTTTATTACATTTCTTAATTTACGAATCAACTTTGCATAAGTTTGAAAATTTCTATTAAACACACATAAAACACTACATTTCTCTAAGTTCAGTATTTTATTTTTTAAGGTTTGAATGTTTAACATTTGACACTAATAACCGCATACACATCATCACTTCAACATCAAAACCAATATCCAAATGGACAATGTCACCATTTTTGGACATGTAAGTTATTTATTATATAGATTTTATCAAAAGTTTTAGTATAACATTTCAGTAAAAACCAAGTCATACT